AAGTGTTCTACCACCGAGCTACAATCCCAGCCCTGTTATTTGTATTCTTGATGATTGCCATTCTAACTGGTGTGAGATGGAATCTCAGTGTAGGTTTGATTTGTATTTCTCTGGTGGCTAAAGATGTTTAATTTTTTTTTTTTTCATATAACTTTTGACCATTTCTTCTTTGGGAAAGTGTTCAGTTCATTTACCCATTAATTTTAAGAATAATTTCTTTTTCTTCCAAAGATTTGTTAATTTACAAAAAGAAAAACCAAAAAAAAAAAAAAAAAAACCATGGACAGATGGCATTCACCGAGGTGAGAATCTACTTCTGTGGTGACTGGCAGTTATAACGTCAGGGTTTGTCAGCAAATGTGCACTGACATTGTTCAAAACAAGTTCCCTCAAACTTGTATGACTGCATCAGAGATGATGCGTTCCTTACCCACAGGCCTACATTTTGTGCTTGGGTCATTAGTGAGCAAGGCCTTGGAAAGGTACAGAGGTTTTGCGGGGCATATTTATTCCCTTGGTCAGCTGCTATGAAAGGAAAATTTTGTTCTTGAGGAAGAGATCATGTTTTGTTTTCTGATTTTCTTCTCCGCCTCTTAACACACTGTTTGACTGAACAAGAACTCTATATATATCAGTTGATCAATTTGTTTGCTATAATGGTATTCAGTGAAAGATTTCCATGGACCTCTCCTTGTATTTAGTGATTTATTTGGTTGCTTCTTTCTTAGAACTGTGTGTAGTATTTACTTTGTTATTTTAATTCTCAAGTCAGAGGTTTTGCTTTTGAATATGAAAAATTGTCAGGAGTGTGAAAAATCTAGATGGATATTTATTTTTCCTCCAAAGGGAAGAAGACTAGACAACTACTATTCCCTTCCATTTTTATGATGAGTTCAAGTTTTTTATAAAACACTGTCTCTTGTATTCTTTGAATTTTTACCACAACTTTCAGAAGTTGTTGGCAAGGGCTCATGCTTATGAATTTACCTGTTTACCTGAAGAATAAGAAAGACAGACACCAGAGTATGGATTCTTTGCCTAAAGGCACACAACTTACCACCAATAAAGCTGAGACAAGCACAGAACTCTCTTTTCTTTGTAATTTTACTAAACCACTGACAAGACAAATCTGACTACCTGATTACAGTAGCTTCCTGTGACATCATGCACTAATGCCCTCCCCTTGATTTTTTTTCTCCCTCAAAGCACTTACCATTTCAAACACAGTGTGAGGGTTATCCCTTTATTTCATCTAGCTACCCATCCATCCGTCTATCCGACTCTTCTACTCTTAAGCTTCATGTGGGCAGAGAATTTTTGTCTATTATGTCTACTAATAAAACCCAAGAACCTACAACCATGTCCAGCACATAGTAGGCATTCAATCAGTATTTGTTGAGCAAATGCACATAAGCTATGATAAAAGTTTCCCGACTTTGGATTTAGCTGGATTTTGTTGTTCCTTATGTCTTGCTTCACTTCCAATATATTGTTAGATTGGCATTTTAGATTACACATGAAGCGTTTATTTGGGGGGGGGACCAAATAGTTGAAATGCTAAATATATTTGTTATTATGTTTTAATTGTTATATCTAATGGAATCTTAAAAGAATGGCAGTGTTGGGAAGCTAGGAGTTTGATGCAATTTCTCAAAATAATTATATCACCAACTCAAGTAACACAGCTAGACAGTCAAGGGTCTGTCTTAGTCTCATTTGTTTTGCCATAACAGAATACTGGTGACTGGGAACTTTATATGGAAAGTTATGATTTTGGTGAGTGGAAGTTTCAGACAGTATGGTGCCAGTGTCCTGGCAAGAACCCCTGTGGGTTTTCAAAACATGATAAAGAATTGGAAAGGAACCGGCTATGTACAGAAGGGGCACACATTCAAGAAAGCAAGCCAAGACAGTTGAATTTGCAAGTGCTGTACCTCTGAGCTGTATTGCCAGCTCCCAGGCCATACTTCCTAAAGGCTCTACCATCTCAGCACTGCCACACTGGGAACCAAGCTTCCAGCACATGAACCTCGGGGAACAACCCATATCCAAACCATAGAAGGGTCATTGATTGTAGCTTTCATTTCATACACGTAAAGAAACGCTTTAGCATGGTTAAGAAATTAGTCCAAAATTGTATTGCTACGTGACATAGAGCTGAATAAATAGAATAGTTTCATTTCCCTACTTTCCCAAGGTCAAGGCACCTTCCCAGAATTTTCTGACACTTCCTGGAGATTCATTTCCATCCAATGCCAGTACAGTTCAAGTTTTTCCTAAAAACAAGGGTGGTACTAGGGTAACGGTGGGTGTGGGAGTATTCGGGATATGTGTTGACCTTTACCCACAAAGATCTAGAATTTAAATGGATGGTATTATCTCTGGGGTTAGTGAGGTGATTTCCCCATCTTGTTATCAGAGTACCATAAAACACAATTTTTTATGTTCAATTTTCCTTGTATGTGTGAGTTGAAATGAATCATTGCATTGTAAAATCTTTGCGGTAAGGGGCTATGTCTCTTAGGACTTAGTAATACTCAACATTGTCATCAGTTCCTGATAGCTAGTGCTCATCTGGAAGTTGAGCAATAGATAAGAAACATTTGCATAATGAGAACATTGATAAATCCTGTTACTGGTAGCCGCTTCAAAGGAATTAAGCAGAAAGAGTAGCACAACATTGTCTTATCAGCCATTCCACCAGAATGATTGCCCAACAGTTCTGTTTCCCTAAAAGGTTGTTCCAGAGTTTGTACTCCTAATCACTTCACTATAAACTTGCGCTCTGGTTGTAGCCACAGACAGATCTGATGTTCATCTAATACACACTGGTGTGGCCAAATGAACTAATTACTTCTGTTCTGATTGGTCAGTGCCTGTGTCCTATTAGTTGTTGAATATCTGGGGTATAAGCCTGGCCACTGGTAGATGAAATGTTTGTATTTCCTAAATATGTTAAATTTAGCAGTTAGATAATTGAGAGACAGGAACAATTTATTTCTTTTTTTTTAAATTTGTTCTAATTAGTTATACATGACAGTAGAATGCATTTTGACACATCATATACAGATGGAGCATAACTTCTCATTCCTCTGGCTGCACATGCCACTGAGTCATACCAGTAGTGTAATCATATATGTATATAGGGTAATAATGTCTGTCTCATTCTGTCTTCCCATCCCTGCTGCCCCACCCCTTCCCTTACTCCCTCTGCATAATCCAGAGTTCCTTCATTCTTCCCTCCTCCTCTAGCACCCCCACTGTGGATCAGCATCCATTTATCAGAGAAAACATTCTGTTTTTTGTTTTTTGGGGATTAGCTTATTTCACTTAGCATGATATTCTCTGGTTCCATCCATTTACTTGCAAATACTATAATTTCATTCTTCTTTAAGGCTTAGTAATATTCCATTGTGCATATGTACCATATTTTCTTTATTCTTTCTTCTGTTGAAAGGCATCCAGGTTGGTTCCATAGTTAAGCTATTGTGAATTGAGATGCTAAAAACACTGATGTGGTTGCATCACTGTAGTATGCTGATTTTAAGTCCTTTGGGTGAAATTTTCTTTTTATTTTTTAATACACATTTTTTTAAAGTTATTGATAGACATTTATTTATTTCTTTATATGTGGTGCTGAGAATCAAACCCAGTGCCTCACACATGCCAGGCAAGTGCACTACCGCTGAACCTCAGCCCCAGCCTTGGGAGGAATTTTCTTTCTTTTTATTTTTTTTTTATTATTTCTTACATACATGACAATAGTGGAGTGCATTACAATTCTTTTTTAAAATTTATTTATTTTTGCATTACAATTCTTAATACACCTTTGTATCACAATTTATCAAATCTCTCTTTGTATATAAGGTATGTTGACACCAAATGCACATATTCATACATGAATTTTGTATAATGATGACCGTCTCCTTCCACTATCCTTGCTATCCCCCTTCTCCCCCGCTTTCTCTGCCACCCCTATTCCCTATCTAGAAGTAATTTTCTACCACTGCTTTTTCTCCTCTAACAGCATGATGTATGGAAGGATCTACTTGGCTCAGTTTTTTGGAGGAAAACATTATCCTTTTGTGATTGTATGTGTTCTGGCAAAATCAACTCAAGTCATGAAGTGAAGAGTTATATATTTGGTTTATCCCTTTGGTAGATACTGTAGTTAACATCTCTTGTATTTGCCAAATTTATTATTTGTATGCTCTTAGCCCTTGTGATAAACATTTCAAGGAATAAAGTTTACAGCATATTCCAGTGTGAAATAGGGCTGGAAATATTATAAATATGTTTTGATTTTAGATAGGGTAAAAAAAAATTGGTTTCCCAGAAGTATAATGGTACAGTGTGTCAGAACTTTAGCACTTGTATATGCAGGAGTTTGAAATGGATGGTCTTCATTGGCAGATGGGTTTCCTTTGTACAGCAAGTGGGAGACCCAGGCTCCTCCCACCAGTGGCTCTGCCACTTTCCCCTCATCCTCCACAGGGCGTCACAGAACCCAGATGGTGAGAGTGTAAAGGGGCTTACCCCCACCCCCTTTTAAATAAAATCTTAACTTAAAAATGGCACATGGAACTTCTGCTTATAGTCTATTAAATAAAGCTCAATTTCAAGACAACATCTAACTTTAAAGGATGTTGGGAAATATTCATCAGTTGTGTACCTAGGAAAAAAAGAATAGATTTTTAAAAATGATTTTTCTTCCTTCTTTCCCTCTCCCTTTCTTTTTACTTTGTTTTGTTTTTCAATGCTTGTAAGTGAACCAGGGGCATTCTACCACTGAGCTACATCCCCAGACCTTTTTATCTTTGAGACAGGGCTTCATCAAGTAGCTGAGGCTTGCTTTGAATTTGTGTTCCTCCTGAATGCTTCTTTACTTTTTTTTTCTTTTTTATTTCTAGTTTTTATTTTTTTGGGTCCTGGGGATTGAACTCAGGAGCATTCAACTGCTGAGCCACATCCCCAGCCCTATTTTGTATTTTATTTGGAGACAGGGTCTCACTGAATTGCTTAGCGCCTTGCTTTTGCTGAGGCTGGCTTTGAACCATCCTCCTGCCTCAGCCTCCTGAGCTGCTGAGATTACAGGCACGGGCCACCACGCCCAGCTTTGAGGTAATTTTAGATTTTAGGGTGGCAAAGATATTCCTGGAGTGCTTTTCTCTCAGCTCTTCCTTATGTTACCTCCCACATAACTACAGTATGGTTTGTAGTTATCCTGGCACAAAAACTGTTAACCATTGACTTTACTCAGATTTCACTAGTTTTTCCTGTCATGTCATTTTTTTCTATTGTAGGATCTAATCCATTTAATTGTCACATTTATTTAGTGACCTCAGTCTATAACAATGTCTTTTTCTGCCTTTATGACCTAATTGCCTTTCTTTAAATATATTTTTATTTTCAATTGACACATGGCAATTGTGTCACATATTTATGGGCTACAGGGTGATATTTCTCTACATCTATGCAATGTGTAATGATTAGGTCAGGGCAATTGTTTTAACTATCACTTAATCATTTCTTTGCTAGGAACATTCAAAATCCTCTCTACTAGTTATTTTAAAATATTCAATTTATTACTGTATATATACACACACACACACATACATACTACCTTTTATTTATCCATTGGTCTGTTGATCCTTATCGAGGCTATTATAAACAGTGTTTCAATAAACATGGGAGTGTAGATATTTTTTTCAGATTTCATTTCCTTTGACTATGTAACCAGAAGTGAGATTGATGGACTATAAAACAGTTTTATTTTTAGTTTTTCAAGGAAGTACCATGCTATTTTCCATAATGACTGTGCTAATTTACATTCTCAACAAGAGTGAGTAAGAATTCCTCTTGCTCTTCATCATTGCCAGCATGTATAATTATTATTTTCTTTTTGATAACTGCCATTGTAACTGGGCTAAGATGTATGTCACTATGTGGTTTTGTTTTGCATTCCTCTGATGATAAATGATGCTGAACATTTTTTTTCATATATTTGTTGACCCTTTATGCATAACCTTTTGAGAAATATTTATTTAGGTTATTTCCTCATTCTCTCACTAGGTTATTAATTTATTGTTTTCTGTCAGGTTCTTTGGAGTTCCTTATGTATTCTGTTATTAATTTCCTTTTTTCAATATTTATTTTTTAGTTGTAGTTGTACACAACACCTTTATTTTATTTATTTATTTTTATGTGAGGCTGAGGATTGAACCCAGGGCCCCTCATGTGCTAGGCAAGTGCTCTACCACCGAGCCACAACCCCAGCCTTTAATTTCTTATTGGATGAATAGTCTACAAATATTTTCTCCCTTTCTGTAGGTTGTTTATTCACTCTGTTGATTGCTTCTTTTGCTGCTGCTACTTTGAAGAATCATTAATTTTGTAAACTATTTCTTGATTTGTATGTTTTACAGTTTTTTTTTCAAGATTAGGTTGAAGTTATGCCTTACTGGGAATGCTACCATAGACTGGAGGTGATCTACCCTTCTCGGTGCATTATATCAAGGGTGTGTAATATCTAGGTGTAATAAGGTTAATATTAATATAGATCACTTGAAAAAGTGACATCTTCCAAGACTCTGTTATATAATTATTATTTTCCCTTTGTAATTATCAAACATTTGAGAGAGATACTTTAAGGATATGCAGATATTCTGCTTTCAGCTTAAGTTTTCAACCAGTGTTGTTAGCACCCATCAGGGAATTTTGCCAGCAGCAATTGTTACTGTGATTTTCTAATTATAATTTTATTTCTTTCATTAAAAATAGATATATTTTTTGTATATATCAGATAATTACATGACTATCAATAATTCTTTTTCTCTTCCACACACCTTCCATTTTAGAAATTAAAGTGGCCATGGATTTCAATGATACTGAATGGTTTGGAAAAGATGAAGGAGTTAAATGATAAAGGGTATCCCACCACAGCTTTGTAGTGATAAAAAGAACCCTGAGATTACAGTGAGAAAAGCTGAGATTTAGGTATAATTCACTTTTGGATTAACATAAAGAGATATTTTTGCTCTAATTTTCTGATTTGTAGTGTAAGGATAATACTATCAATCCTTCAGTATAATAAGTGAGGTTGTAGTACTTTGAATTATTAGGAGTTATTCATTTTATGAATTTAAGGTGTTCTTATGCCATATTAAAATAGATGTATTATTAAAATATCAAGTCAGCTTGTGGAGCAAGGCTGGTATTTATTGGACATCTACTATTGTACAGACTTTGCATTAAGAGTTACAAATACTAATGAATTCATTCTTCTCAAACCAGTATTATTGTACCATTGTATAAATGAAGAATTTGAGGCACAGGAAGGTTAAACAACTTGCCCCAGCTCATTTAGCAGGTAAGTAGTGGAATCAAGATTTGAACCATGGTGGTCTGGCTCTTAGCCACTTCACTATAAACCTGTGCAGCTTGGTAGCTATTGGCAGAACTCATATCTATCTAATCCCCACTGGTGTGACCACACCAACCAACCATTTCTGTTCTGATTCATCAGTGCCTGTTCTCCATAGGTTGTTAAATATTTAGGGTGTAAGCTTGGCCACTGGTAACTAAAAATGTTTGTATTTCCTAATTATGCTTAACTTGACAGCATAAATAAACCTCAAGAAATATTTGATGGTGGTGTACAGTGAAGTGAAAATAGAAGTCTTGGACATGTATTTAGCAATTGTTCTTTCCAGCTACGAGATATTAGTGCATGCCTATCTTTGGCCACAGTATAAAGAAGTATGATTCTTGTTTAGAAGTGATTCTTAGAGCCGGGTGCAGTGGCTCACACCTGTAATCCCAGTGACTTGGGAGGCTGAGTCAGGAGAATCACAAATTCAAAGCCAGCCTCGGCAACTTGCAGAGGTGTAAGCAACTCAGAACCTGTCTCTAAATAAAAAATAAAAAAGGGCTAGGATGTGCCCCTGTGGTCACTACAGAGGGAAAGGGGGATGGTGTAGCCTCTGGTATGCCCTTTTTAGGGTGATGAGGCTGGGTGTGAACCAGCAAAAAGGACCACAAACATCCTCTAATGTGTGCTCCATCCCACTGGCTGATCATTTATGGAATTAGGGACTTAAGAGCCAAGTGGAATGGAGGTATTATTTCTAGAAGACAATTATAAATAAAATTGGTCACAGAGAAGCTGCCAGGATTATTAGATTTACCTGGCCTTTCCCTGCAGTCTCTGTTGTACCTGAAACTTTGCCCCATATCCAATCTCTGTGGGCATGGGGGAACCCCAAAGAAAGTAGATACCCCATAATATCCCTAGGGCAGCCTGGGCTTAGCTGTGTGTGTTGTGCAGGTAAAAGTATGAAGTAGGCTTTCCAGATAACTGCAAAGGCACAGTGGACCTGAACTGAGGGGCCCCCTGAACACTTGGAATGATCAATTTTTCATGGCTACGTGAAGCAACTTTGAGAGGTGTAACCACATCCAGGAAGATGACGACATTGCCAACAGAGATAGACCACCACAGAAAGCCAAGAATGAGAACTGGCTATGGATTCTGTACTAATGGGATATGAGCCCCTCTCTGGATCTTGGAGAATGAGAAACTGGATAAGGATTAAACACAGAGAGCCTATGCTCCCAGGGCATGCTTGTCAGGGGGTGGACTATGCACCCCTCTTCTCGTCTGTCCTTGTCCATGCTGTGTGTGGATGGACTACTCTGTACAAATGGCTTTGGAGTAAATGAAGAAAGCAGAAACCATTGTCAAATCTACAGTCTAGTTGGGGAGCCTGGAATTTTCCACGTAAAACATGTATACAGTGGCAGATTAAGTTCAATGTTAGAAAATCAGGAAATATTATTCATGTGGTTAAAAAAAATAAAAAAGGGATGTAGTCCAGGGGTTAATGCCCCTGGGTTTCATCCCTAGATGCCAAAAAAAAAAAAAAAAAAAAAAAGAGTGATTATTAGATTTGTGTCTAGGTATTATACAAAGAAATCTAAATGGAGTCACCAGTTTTCTACTCTTTCTGTATGTCTGAAACTTGCTTGACTTCTGTTTGTATAATCTGGTTTAGTTAAAAATTCTATCTCTTTTCTTCCCAGTCTTTTATGCATTTCTGGTTTAACAGGGCCAAATCCATTTCTGGGTAATGTGAACGGCTGACATACCCACTATTGGAGTGAGGGGTCTCTGAACTACACCATGGAATGACATTCATTTACCCTAATGTCATTTTTATAATATTCCTGCATTCCTGATCCTGCTTGAATTCACCTTGAACTATTTACATGTGTAACAAAGGCATGAAGTCCTCCTGCTGCAAATAGAAGTTGTAGGGAAAACTCTGGCTGACAGTGGGAGAGCTGGCCTTTTGTTTTGGTTCTGCCAGTGACTTATTCTGCTACTTTGGGAAAAATACTGAGCTTCTTGGGGCTTTCTTTTCTTATCTGTGAAGATCAAAAGGGAACTTATCCAGCTGCAGTGTTTGATTTAGTCCATCTGGGAGTTTTAATGTAGTTTGGTTGATGATTAGCTGGTCCTGTCGATTAAATAAACGCTAAGTATAATCTCCAAATAATACTGGTGGTGTTGTCACATTTCCAGGAAAGAGTACAAGGGCTGGGGCTGTAACTCAGTGGTAGAACGCTTGCCCAGCACACATGAGGCACTGGGTTCGACCCTCAGTACCACATATAAATAAATAAAATAGAGGTATTGTGTCCATTTACAACTGAAAATATTTTAAAAACATAGTAAAACAAAAAATATTGTTTAAAATTTGCTTTGAAGATTGCTATAGTACTGTTGTCTGATAAAACAAACAAAAGAGGTCACACTATGTTTCAGTGACTTTAAAAGACCATTCATTTTGAAACCCATCTCATTTTCAGATGTCAAAATTGGGAAATTGTGCTTCTTAAATTTAGTAGGAAGCCCTCAGATTACTTCTCCATCACTTAAGTGTAGATTTACCTGAAGCCTTGTTGGAGCTTGATGTTATTATCATACATGTATGATACCTGTGTATGTGTCATCAGTGGGCAAAGGATTGAGAAGTATTTTATTGGTCTCTTGTTTGGCAATTCTTTCTAGGGTTTTTTTTTTCTAACCAATTATAGTTTGAGAGATTGTTTCCTTATTTCATTTCCTTAACTGTCAGCTATATATATGTAGTCTCATATGTGGGAATGCTCATTCTTCTCCTAGGAATTTCCTAGTTTGGTAAAGCTTTCCTCTCCTCCCTTCATCCCTTTTTTTTTTCCAGTGAACTTCTTTATACTTTTTGCTAATGGACAACCCAGCATTTGAAGTGCATGAAGAAGGATCAAAGAATGATTTGTCTATGGGGAAGATCAATACCATCTCCAGAATGGTAAGATGGAGATTTATATCCTGAGGTTAGGTTCCCCCCAGACCTTTATGCAGAGCTCAGGAAAGAGCTTTACACAGGTTTTCTAAGAGACCCTCTTGAAGATGAAACATCTGCTGTGAATATTTCCTGCTCTACCTTCTCTCTCATAAACTCGACTCACATATTCTCTAGCTCTTTAATGGCACAACTCTCTCTGAATTGTTGCTCACAGTACCAATAAATGCTTTTGACTTAATGGTCAAAAGGCCAGCTAAAAGTCTGCCTCTTACTTGGGACTTTCTAGAGGCAATGTTTTTAATCCATGCTGATCAGTGAGCTTCAGACAAATTAAATGAGGAATTTTTTTTGTTCAGCTGGTTTTCATAGTTCTTCTTCATAATGTTTCCTTTCTCTATCAATTTGAAGAGGCAGAATAACAGTTCATCCTCTCTTCTATGTAAAGGGATCTAGACAAACTACAGGTTGAATATAGTAGTCATAAAATATATAGAGAGGGCTGGAGTTGACATTTAAAAATGGAAAGAATAATGGATAAATATTGTTTGGGAAGCTTTTGTTTAAATGTGTGTGTGTGTGTATATGTGTGTGTGTGTGTGTGTGTGTGTGTGTGTTTATACATACACATGCCTGAATACATGTGTGTTTGTATGTGCATTTATATGTGTGTTGTATTAGGTCACAATGGGAAATGTATTAATTACATTGTAAAGTATTTGAGCAATATTGATAAGGGTCAGTAATCAAGGAAAAAAATATTAATGTCTAGTAAAGTTACACTCTTTGAAATGTATAAAGTTATATGCTATCCTTTTGTTTTTAACCTAAAGGTAAGCTTGGAGCCATATGTAAAAAACAAAACAACAACTTTCCTTTGAGAGTATTGGACCATAAGAATTGACTCAAAGTTTAATGATTGCCAAATGATATGAAGTAGTAGCACTATGATTTAGTGGAAATAGCACAGACTCAGAAGGACTTCTTCCTAGATCTACAGTTGCAGTAACAGTGTAGCTTTTCACAAGTCATTGCTCTCTTCTGAGCCTCACTGGAAAAATGGGACATACAGATTAACCTAAAATCTTTAGGGTTCTTTCCACTGCCAAATTTTTGTTTTTGGCTTCTCCCAGGATCCTGATCCAGAACTCAGGAAATATTCTTTTCTTAGGGAGGTAGTGCCTACTATTCTGATCATTTTATGATTCAATACCAAATAGATAAAACATACAATTTAAGTATTATTTAAAAAATATATTCTTTTACTACACTTGTCAGTCAAATTTAGTTGAAGTTTGTGGAAAGAAAAATTTAAGAAATAGAGAAAGGAGGCAATCTTTCTTCTTAATGTGTCTTGGGTATAGAATAATGGCTTCATCATTTCTCCTAGGAAAAGAAGAAGCAGTGGTCATTGTTGAGCATTTTCCTGGTGTGTCTCTTGGCCTGCGTCGTCACCACAGCTATAGGAGTACTGATTCTCTCCTTGGTTTATATTAACAACTCCCAGTCTCATTTAAATGTTCAGTTTGCGGCTGGAGTCTGGCCTCTGCGAACCACAGTGGATCCTAAAGTGCAAAAGGCAGTTGATCCAAAATTCCAGTTTCTTAATCACTTACCAAAATCTAAGGTATGAATTGGGTAATTAATAATTTTTAAATTTTTCTAATGGTGGTTTCAAAATGACCTTTTCATGTTACTAAGCTGTGTTCTGTCCTGAAGTGCGAGTATGATAAAGGGAGGTGAGGAATAGAGAAGAAGGGAAAGTTAGTTGATGTCAGCTTCAGGCAGAAATTTTCTTTAGTACATAATTCTGTGTTTGTCTGGAAGGGAGAATTGCAGGTGCACAAATGGAAACCTCTCTGTTCTCTTGCTAGTATAGATGTCTTTGGCAGAGCTTAGATGATAGCTCTGCATATATCACTATTGTCAGTCATTCCTGGACTCTTGCAGAACTATTTCTTATCTTCTTTTTTTTTTCATTTTCTTTCTTTCTTCCCCACATGTTTATTGGTGCCTTGTAATTGTACATACTGATAGGGTTTGTTCCTACGTATTCCTATGTGTACACAATATATAACAATATAACTTGGCTAATCATTATCTTCCTTTATGAGACTCCAAAATTCACATCACTTCCATGGCTTTTTCTGTCTTACCTCTTTCTTACTCTGTAGATCAAGTGGCCTCACGTTTCTCAGGGGATGGCCTCCATACTGATGGTTGCTTGTATTTGATTTTTTTAGGTGTTTGAGTACTCTGGTGGTGCAATCCAGTGGGCCCGGTACAGGAACAATGTCAAAGACTATCTCAATGATGAAGAAGAGGCCTTTGGAACTAGCTTGAACAGTCAGAAATCACATATGACTCTGGGGACCTTGAGAATAAAAAGCAAGGGGCTCCGGGCCCCTCACTGGCACTTCAATGCTAATGAACATGGCTATCTGGTACAGGTATAACTGTTCGCCTGCACTCTGCTCTTAAGCATATATGTTATATGTCTTCTGGGTATTATTTTGTCACAAAGCCTACTTAACTAAGTGACAGACAACCATCCAGGGTTTCAATTAGATTTAGTTAGATTACTTAGCAGTCCCTTTAAGTATCAGCCTGTTTATTGTAATTATTTTTTGGCATCAATTTCTTCAGTATGAAATCCTTTTCACACACTGTTTTTTTTTATAATAAGATCACTCTTTAGTCCTGTGAATGAAAGCTAAAAGTGGTAGCTATGATCTAATGAGCAAAGAAACATAAGCTCTCTTCCATGGAGAAAACCAGCAACTGGAATGACTAACTAGTTTTCTGGTGTTGAGTTTTGAGTCTCCAAGATCAGGGCATCCGGATGCTTTTTTGTGGTTTAGACCTTTCAGAATATTTTCAAGTCAAATGAAGTAAGAGGAGATGGCTGGAGTTGAAATGAGTGTACTTACTTGAATTTTCAAAGAATTCATTAATTTCAAGAAGTATTTATAGGTCTCATCTGTATTCTAGATACTGGGAAAGCAGTGGTGAATAAGTCCTCCTCCCAGAACTTTGGTCACACTCTGATGATCTAGTTCTTGGATGTACAGTCAATTTTATGGTGTATTTTTTTGTTGTTAATTAAAACCTCTTTTGCATTTGGATGATTCATTCAGTTTTAGAATTTACAACAAGAAAAGAGATTGGAGTTTCATCTATATGAGACCAAACCCTTCTTATTTTCCATGAAAGACTAAGAAAGATTAGGTGACTTTTCTAAAGATGTACTGTAGTTGTTGGCTATAAGATATTCTGTGGTTATTGACATGCTTTCTGACTTCCTGTCTTTTTCCACATATAAAAATATGTAAAGGAGGATGATCTCCAAAAGACTAATTTTTCATAGCCCTCACTGAGCAGTGGCAGAGCGGTTGTTGAAAGACAAGGCTGCTAAGTGGACTTGTTAGAAGGGGATCTACACAACAAACTCTATGCTAGGGACATTGGTCTGGAGCATACTTCAGAGATAACAGCCCTAGAATCTTAACTCAGCCTGGGGAGGTTCTTTTGGAAGTCCAGAGAGTGTTTATAATGTGAGCTTCTAAATGTGAACTGTTTGGAGTGAAACATCCTCTAGATCCCAGGAAACCTGTAAGATCACCAACTGTCACAATCAAAGCAGGGAACCATCAAATAGGATGAGGAGTCCCTCTATGACTCATCATGAGATATTTGTGCTTCTGGGGGTCTACCTGTGACTAGCAGGCAGCCCTGAGGGAATAGGGAGGATGAGGTGGCTGGTACGCCTGGTATGCAGGTAGGTTCCCATTAGCACCCTACTCTCTCTGCTCTGCATCTGGAATGGTTGGTGCCCTGCTAGGGATAAATGGAGATTTCTGATGTTCCTTCTCTGTGTATGAATGAAAAAAGAGCTCTTTGAGGTTCATTTTTCCCCTCTATCTTTAATACCCAAGTGAATTCAAGCTACCCATGATGATCTTCAGACATATTGTCTGTGCAGACAGAACAAAGACTTCTTTTTCATATATATTTTAAATATTTTTTTGTATACATTCCACTCTGTAATTATGAGTCTGTGATAAAACATAAATAATGGTATCTTCAGTGCCTGCCTCAAAGTGTAATAAAGAAGAAGTAGAGAATGAGAGAAAGCATAGAATTTTATATCAGCAGAATCAAAGTGTGGTGCAGTGTGGATAAAAATATGTCTACTTGGGAGCAGACTACTTAGGCCCAAATGCCATCTTTGCCCTTGACAAACCAAGTAACTCTGGGGAAATTTTATGTTCTTACCAAACTAATTTTTTAAATTAGTTTTAAATCTGTAAAATGTGATAATGGTAGTTTTAGTGTTCATAGGGTAGATATAAGGAATAATTGAGTTGAATTAAGTAAAATGCTTGGATAACTGACACTAAAGTGTAGATGGCTTATTATTAAAGTTGTGTGTAAACTTTTTCTATCTGCAAAGCACACTCACATCTGTATGCATACATACACACAAGCATACTTACAAATGGGTATTTGCGCAGTCATCGATGAACATGCACATATCCTAAACATGTGGTTTGAGTCTTTTCAGATTCTGTAGCATGGAAGCTCCATGAAGAGAGTATTGCCCCCGTGGCGGGGGATAGATACACATAAAGTATAGGTTCACATAATGGCTCATAAGCAGTATTTGTATCCAGAATACTGATCTAGAGTCTATCTGTCATGTTAAAATTCTGTATGGTGTTAGGGAAAAAAGTTTAAAAACATACCTTGGAAAGAAGGTAATAAAAAAAGAAAGGTTGAGAAACATTGCTCTAAAGCAAAGTGGGATGTGCTTTTCTTTTTATGTTTCAGGGAACAGCATGGATTGGGGTGGTTGATGATGGTGGTGAGATAGTTACTACATACAATGTCACAGCTGGCCAAGTGATCTTCTTCCCCCAAAACACACTACACTGGATAAAGAATGTGGGCAATGAAGACTGCTTCTTCTTACTCTTTTTTTCTACACATGATGAACTTCAGACTCTGGATGTTGATGATGTATTTTTTTCTACACCTGAAGACATTGCTTCAAGGTCACTTAAGGTATGCACCATTTCTAAAAACACATCTCACCATGAAGGTGAGGCAGGCACAAAGGGATTATGAGTGTTTTGTGTTTGTAGGGCAGCAGTTGGTACAGATCCAGAAGATTGGCTAATAGGTATGCTAAATATTGAATTATTGACTCAAAGGGATCTTGTGTCCCTACTGAAGAAAGAAACTTGTTGAAATTGAGTTTCTTTTTATTTTCTTTTATAAAGGTCTTCCATAGGAAACTTTAATGTATTGGCAGAAAGCATATAATGTAATCACTGAAAAATTACTGTAATTTATATTCCTAAGGAACCATAAGTTCACTCATTCTTTCTGTATGGAGAAGTTTTCTACAGATAATGGAAACATATTTTCTTAGTCTCATGAAGAGGATCCCATACTTTTCCTAAATAATCACTACTTAATACTATTTTAAAATGCATTTTTAAAAATGTATATTTTTAGTTGTAGGTGGACACAATATCTTTTATTTTATTTCTTTATTTTTATGCGGTGCTGAGGATCGAACCCAGCACCTTGCACATGCTAGGCGAGTGCTCTACTGCTGAGCCACAACACCAGACCTTTAAAATGCATTTTTAACTGATGTATTTATAAACATAAAATTGTATATATTAATGAGGTACAATATATTTTGATACATGGATACAGGATGTAATGTTGAAATCAGGGTAAACATATATCTATATCTATAATCTATATCTATCTATATATCTCAAACATCATTTATTTATGGTAAAAACCTTAAAAATCCCTCCTAGTTTTAAAAAAATATACATTATTATTTTTTATATTTATATAATTTTTCTTTATTTTTTACATTACATTATTTTTATCTGTTGTCATCTTACTGAGCAATAGCATAGCAGAACTTCTTGGTTCTATCTAATTGTAAAATTAGTACCAAGAATCACTACTTTTTGATCTCTCCATATAGTTATATTATCATTGAAGGGACAAATGATATTGCTGCTTACAGAGAGTCAGTGTTAGATGCCGAAAGTATAAATGTGCAGAACTGATAGTGGCTTCTGGTAGGCAGTTGGAGGGCATTCTGTATTAAGTTTAGAAATCTGCATGGGAAGTTTTTGAGATTACCTTATTGTGGACACTAGTAGTCTAGTGCAATAGGGATAAGTAAGAGAAATGATTCATTAGGGAGAATAACAGTAAGTATAGAAGCCAATGTATAATTTTGCAAGAGTTTGTACTGACCATAAAGAAACCAATCATTTAAAATTAAGATACATTGCAAATCTATGGATTTTTCATAAAGATCACAAGTATAAGTCTTATTGAGATCAGCTCTTCTGCCTGGGCTACTGAAAACCATGCTGCTGATGTTATCCTGCCTTTGGCTACTTACCCGTCTATTTGTAGAATGTTTCAGAAATATCTTATTTGCTGTCCTATGTCTTTCAGCCTGAAGGTGGAATTGATTTCATTAGAAAATTCCAAAAGCAAAAAGAAGATCAGGCGGTCAATCTTCCTTCCAACTTGGCAGAACTGGTTATGAATGCTAGTTATGTACAGTCTCCTGACAGCCTTGTGTGGAGATACTTTTATGACCTTAAAGGTACAGCCTGCTGTTTTATGAAACCATTTTAATTAAGCATTTGTATATAAAATCATATATGTTTGGATTGAACCAATGTGCATGTGTGTGCATGTATATTTGTATGTGTATGTTTTATGGTGGGCCATAACCAAGAGAAAAAGGAAAAACCACATTTCTCAACAGAGTAGGTAATTTGAGAAATAGTCCTGCAGGCACAGTAGAATGTGATAGAGGATTTCAAAGTGTGAGGGGTGAGTGTTGGGGCTGGGGGAGGCTGCAAGAAAGAAGGCTAAGTAAGAGAGAGGATGGATCCGATCATGCAGGGCTTAGAAACCATTCTAAGAGTATGTACAGGATCTTAATGGAAAAAAGGAGCTATTGAGGAGTTTAAAAGGAGAGAGGAATACAGTCCTTTTTGCTCTCTGAAATGAAGAACACTCTGGCTGAATTGTAGAAAATGGATTGAAAGGGGCCAGACAGGAGGTAGGGTGATTAGTCAAGGGCCTGTAACAGTCCCTCAGGTAGGGAGGATGGTGGCCTGTCTGTACTTGGCAGTGGTGACAGGGACAGAAAGGTTGCAAAGCAAAATACTTAAAGAATCAGGGCAAACAGGCCTTGATGGTTGACTGGCGTGAGAGGTGGGACCTAGGAAATGGTGTGCAGGATGACTCCCAAGTTTTCTAGCCAGTCCCCTGAGTTGAACACCTTCCTAAAGAGGACACTCTAGGCTAGAAATTTTGAGAGCACTTAGAGCGAAGGATAGACTCTGACTGGGTCAGGTTAATATTGTGGGGGCCCCATGCTCCACTGTCAGCGATTTCTACTACATAAGTTTTCTGTGACAAGAAGAGCTGCACGCTTGGTTGGGTTTCCATTGGAGTATCATTGTTATTGTTCAATTTTATTTTTACAATAAATTAAAACTTTTTTGTGGTGCCAGGGATTGAACCCAGTGGATTGTTCGTAACTCTACCATTAAGTTATACCCTCAGCCCCCTTATTTTTTTAAACTTCATCTCACTCAGGTTCAAAAGAATATCAGTTTCCAGGAGGAGTAATACAAATGGCACAACACTGGAGGAATGGAAGTGAACTCAGCAACAATGAGAAAATTTTCAGTGAATTCCTTAATCAGGTATTTGGGAATTTTTTTATTTTTAGTTTTTTTGTACCACAGATTTAACTCAGCACTTGACCACTGAGCCACATCCCCATCTCTATTTTGTATTTTATTTAGAGACAGGTCTCACTGAGTTGTTTGACACCTCACTTTTGCTGAGGCTGGCTTTAAACTCCAGATCTTCCTGCCTTGGCCTCCCCAGCTGCTGGGATTACAGGGGTGCATCACTGCGCCTGTCTGAGAAAAATATTTTGATAAGCATTCAAATGGATGAACTATGAGATTTAGATTGGATTCAGACTTCTTTTGGACACAAGGAAAAGGAAAATTCTGTTGAACATTGGTTGCTTTGATCAATGTAAATTGTGATTGAAGCTTCAGTGTGAATATAGGGAGCATAACTTCTCTGGCATGAATAGTTAGACTAATGAAAAGATTGGATACTTTCGAGAGTTCTCTTCATTAGTTTGAAATGCTCAATTGACTGTATCACATAGTTGTGTCATTACTTTGTGTGGGTTCCGATTATAATTCTGCCACTTCTTAGTTGTGTGACTTTAGGTAAATTTCTCAACCAACGTAGATTTTAATTCTATCACCTTTGAAATAGTATAAAACTACCCACTTTATAAGATTGTCATGAGGAATAACTGACATAGTAAGTGTAAGGACATAAGTTGGAGCTGCATAAGTATTAGCTACTATCAAGATTGTTTGAATTGTTAAGTTATTGAGTAAGATGTGGGCTAAATAACTAGATTTCTTTTTCTTTTCCTTTTTGAAGCATCAAAATACCCTCGCTTTGAGTACACTCAGAATTTATAACAATGGATTACGACAACCACATTTTCATTTTAATGCGAACGAAATGGGATATGTGTTAAGTGGATGTGGAAAGGTAATTTCTCTGAAAACATTTTTTGGATGTTCTTTTATGCAGAAAGAAGCAAATTTGAGATATTTCTTTGTTTTGGTTCAGTCATTAGTAACATAAAAAGGACTCAGTTCCAATTGCTTTCGGGGCACAGTTTCTTCAGAGGGTATCATGCAGATAGTCTCCAAGTTTGATGAGTCAGAAAGATTCAAGATGTGCATGAGGCCAAGAATGTTTCAGAGAACACTTGCTTAGTTTTTCAAAGTTTTGCATCCTTAGGTAATACAAAGTGGAAGTTGCTGCTGCCCTTGGGAGAATGTTTGCCTCTGAGTATAATGTGAGAGTGGGTAGCTGGGAAGGTGCAGAGCATCAGTGTGGTGACCATATATCCCAGCTTACCCAGGGTACTCCTGATGTATACTTGTTGTCTAGGTAAAATTAATGACACCCACTTTAACTCTTCAGAGAGCCTGATTTGGATGATCAGTTCCATAGGTACCATAAGAAAAGCTAAACTGGGTAGTGTGCTAATATAGTGATTTGATTGTAGTTTTTCAAGACTCTCTAGGGAACTTTCTTCCTCTTATATGTACTGGGAGTGAAGGGAAGAGAGAGAGAGTGTGCGAAAGGACTTTCTTCTGCATGAAGGGAAATGGTAGCGAAGTAGAATTTCTTCCTTTCATTCTTTGTTTTAAGCAACTTTAATATATCATGATCTATAAATTAAGAAAGCATATTAAAGTCACAAAGTAAGTAAATAATGGTGGAGTGAATGACTGAAAATTCACTCATTTTGTTATTCATAACAAAAGTTTTATTCTACATATTTAGATATGAAAGTTTAATAAATTGGAAAAGGGATTTTTAATCTTCCACAGATTGTATTTCAAAGATCAGACTTTATTTTTATTGTGTTTGTGTGTTTGCATTGATTCCTTAATTATTAAGGAAGATTGTTAGGATACCACCCTCCCAGGAAACTGGTGGGAATAAAAGCACAAGGGTAGTGAAACATGGAACTGTAAATCCTCTGCCTAGAGTATATAGGACATAATTTGTAATCCTTATTTAGAATGTTGTGGTTGATGCTTTTTTTGTTTTGTTTTGCATGATGTTCTGCATGTCGAACTCACTAATGTACTTGGGAGAACATTTATCTAAATAAACATTTGGGGGGCTACATCTCTGAAACAGGAATTTTTTTCTTGTGAACGATATTTTCTACCTCTGCTCTTTACCCTCATGAAGAAATCCCTGCATAACCATATGCTTCTTCTGTTCTTCACTATCGATACTTATCCTTAGTGCATATTTGATTTTTTGTGCTTAACTTTCTTCTTTCTTTCTTTTTATGTAATTTAACTTCTATAACTTCCTCCCTCTTAGGTGGGCATTATTAATACTGAGAGTACCATAGAGTTTAACATTAACATTGGAGACGTGGTATTTTTCCCCATTGGAACCCAGCATTACATTAAGAACACATGTGATGAAGATTTGCTTTTCATTCTTGCCTTCAGCACTGGAGATCAGGTAAGAATAAGCCAGGTTAAGAAAGCCTGTGATTCAGTGATCTGTAGAAAGTTCTGCTGAGCCATGTGTCCAGACCAAAGGGGGCTCTTAGTAGATGTGTGTAGAATGGATGAATGAGTGAGCTGGATGAAACTGTGTGAAGCGGGGAATCAAATAAGCTTCCATTTGGTTAAAGGGTCCAGTGTATCACTTTCTCTCTTAATCCCCCAAATTCTGAACCAAAGGCTCAGTATAGAGATCCACAAAATTAATTACTAATAAAGAAGATATTAGGGAATGTGACTAATGTCTGTGGGCAGGTGGGTTTCCTAGATTGATACCCTGAATTGGATAGGCCTCTCCATGTTGAGGCAGGTCCTTTGTATACCATTTATACCTATGGCATAAAGTAACAGAGCATGCTCTTTTAAGGTTTTCCAGCTCTCAAACACAAAGACAGAGGAGCTGAAGGGAGCTTGGCCATTCCATTCCTCTTACATGTACTGAGAGTGAAGGGAAGAGAGAGTGTGAGGGAGACTGCAGGAGTAGTAAAGTACCATTTCTTCCCATCTTTTTTTTTGTTAAGCAAATTTAATATAGTACGATCTATAAATTAAGAAAACATATTAAAGACAAAGTAAGAAAACATAAATTATATATAAAACATAAAGTGAAGAGAAATTATTTGCTGAATTTAATTATTTGCTTTTAAAATTTATCCTATGGAATAATGGGTTCAAGATACAAGGATAAATTAAACTATCTTTAGGACTAGATTACGTTCTGAGACTGGGTAAGAACTATAATGATCTGTGTGGGTACCCCCAGGCAAGTCCAGAACGGACAGACATGGCTCCTGTTTGGGGTTCTTCCTACAAGGAGTCCCAACAAGAGTTCCAGTGACGAGCCCAAATGAGCTATGCAGTGTCATCAATAGGGCCTCAGCTGTAGGATGGGCTAGGACCCACATGGTGATGCTCATTTCCCAGGAAGATACCCACCTTCTTTCAGGGAAACTGAAAAATTCAAGCAGCTCTTTCCCTGGGTCTCAAAACCTTCCTGGGTCCTTATACCTGGGAGGTTTGTAGAGACACATGTTATAAAGAGATGGATCAAAAGTTGGCTGTAGATTTTGATGGGGAAGAAGTGATCCCTATTTCTGATGTGGGTCTTGCTGCTGCTGCCACCCCCTTGGCACTACTCTGTACAGCCATTAAAAGAACAAATCAGAAAGCAAAAGTCAATTTAATCAAATATGAAGAGAACAAGAAGGAAAAACTCAAAATAGCAAGTTAGAGTCTTAAAAGTGGAGAATAATAAAAGAGAATTAAAAATGAGTAGAAGCTGGGTGCCGTGGAGCACGTCTGTAACCTCAGCAACTCAGGAAGCTGGGGCAGGAGGATCACAAGTTCACGGCTACCCTCAGCAACTTAGTGAGGCTCTAACTTAGTGAGACTCTGTCTCAAAATGAAAAGTAAAAAGGGCTGGAGATGTGGCTCTGTGGTTAAGCTCCCCTGGGTTCAATCCTTGGTAACCCCCTGTCCCCCCAAAAATGATACAAGAGTAATTTTTTTTGTGAGTATAAAATATAATGAACTTAAAATGCTATAAAGAGGTAGAAATATAGAAATTTTAAACAAAAAGTCAATATAAGAGTGATTCCTGACAAGAAAGAAAGAAATTAATCAGAATTTTGGGTAGGACAATTTTTTTACTCAATCCTGCCTTTAGGAATGTCTCATGTTCTTGAGGCAGGATAGCCCCTCATTACCCTGTGTGAATGGGTAATGGGACGTGCTTCTAACAGGGATGTATTTTGCATGAAGAGAAAGGAAGGAAGAGCGTGGAGAAAGAAAAACAGAGTTACACATTCACTAAGAGGCAGGCACACAGCTACACACAATACTGATGCCCACACAGGGGGAAATATAGATAAATAAAGAGAAACAAGGTACAGAGAGAGTGACACACAGATAGAAGCAACACAGACCCACAAACAGAAGGAAACACCTGTGCATAGAAGGGCAGAGACCTGTAGAGAGACACAGGAGAAGAGACACATACACACCCACATCCAGACAGACTTACACTTTTTTTTTCCCCACTTGGAGGGGGAAAGAAAGACAAATACGGAGGCACCAACATATGTTGAGACAAACACAGACAAAAGTGAGAGACTCATACATGCACAGACACACCCACCCATAGAACCAGGGGGAAAAAGAAACGCACACATACACATGCAGAAATTGAGAAGAGCAGGCCAAGGAAGAGTGTGTGTGTGTGTGTGTGTGTGTGTGTGGGTGGGTGTGTGTGTTGGTGGGGGGCACAATACAGGGAACAGACACAGGGAGTCAGACCCACCCCATTGGACATTAGGCCAGGTAGGAGGAGATAATCAGCCCTGCAGAGAGAAACCAGTCTCAGGGGGAAGAGTGCCAGGATGGCTTTCTTGGCAGTAAGTTTTGCTTCATCACATGCCTCTGGGTATGGAGCTCTGAGAAGTCCTTCCTCACAGGCAATCGGATGAAACTGCTCACTCCTCAAAAAAAACCACTTCTCAGAAGGACAGAGGTTGCTTCTAGAGAAATCCTGAGATGCTTCAGCCCCTCTAGCCATCAGGCATTCCCCCCTCCCCATATTTTTCATTGGTATATTATAGTTATATATAGTATTATATATTGGTATATTATATACTTAATGATGGGATTTGTTGTTACATTTTTATACATGCACACAAGATAACAATATAATTTGGCCAATGTCACCCCCCCCCCATATTTCCCCTTTCCCTTCTCTCCTCCCATCCCCTGGTCCCTTTCCTGTACTCTATAGATCTCCCTTCAATTTTCATGAGATGCCCCTACCCCCATTTCCTTTTCCCTTTTCCTCACTAACTTCCACATATGAGAGAAAACATTTGATCCTTGACCTTCTGAGTTTGGCTTCTTTCACTTAACATAATGTTCTTAAGTTCCATCCAATTTCCTGCAAATGACATAATTACTTTTTGTTTGTTTGTTTGTTACCAGGGATTGAACTCAGGGGCACTCGACCACATCCCCAGCCCTATTTTGTATTTTATTTAGAGACAGGGTCTCACTGAGTTGCTTAGCACCTCGCCATTGCTGAGGCTGGCTTTGAACTTGTGATCCTCTTGCCTCAGCCTCCCAAGCTGCTGGGATTACAGGCGTGCGCCACCATACCTGGCTATTATAGTTACATTTTTATTTATGACTGAATAAAACTTCATTGTGTACATATACCATACTTTTTAATCCATTTATCTGTATCATCAGACCTTTTTTGTTTGTTTGATTTTACTTCTCAGTTTTGAAAAGGCCAACTCCCATAAGCAAGGGAAGATTGGCACCCAAGGAACCTATGTACATGACTGGGTAAAGTTAGACAGCTAACTGCCAGGGAGTACTTACATCAGAGATGGAAGATCTCTTTGGGAATCTGAGCATTTCTGTGCTGACACATCTCCTTTTGGTTTATTCTATCAGCTGCAAACCCTTGACATGGATGATTATCTCCAGGCCACTGCAGATCACATCTTGGCTCAGCTTTTCTTCAAGAAGCAAAGTGAATTTAAGAAGATTCCCAAATTCAAGGAGGACCAGGCAATTAACCTGCCTTAGAGTTACTGATGAGTTCAAATCTATTCCTGTGCTTTTGTTGTTGTTAAAGAAGGACCACATGGCTGCTGAGCTGGGGCTCTTTACAAAGTAGAGTGAGATAGCAGGTCAGCCTGCAGACTCATTTAGCTAATAGTGATTATGGGCTAAGGGAACACTTCAGATCAATAGATGTATGGAGGAGACCTGATACATTAACATATTTTTGTATGAATTTTAGTATATGTATGTGTATGTTTATTTCCCTTTTGTTACTTCAAATTTATTATTCCAAATGTAAATCTATTCTTCTTTTGCACATAGGTAAAACTTAATTCCATGCAAATATTTTTGTTATTCATCATTGTGAAAAGAAGTAAGGTCAGCTTATGTATGTATATATTGAGGCACTGAAATCCACATTGTCAATCCTTGTCTATGGAGTTTAGTTTTAAGTCCTACGTTGGAAGTTCCCTTTTTAGAGTGCCAATACTTATACTAGTATTGGGTACTAACTATATTTTAGTTAAAATACTTAATGAATTCAACACCATCTTTGGATTTTATTAGTTACATCATCTGTTTGCATTTAAGGAATAGTCATCTCTATGTTTGAGAAGCATATGGTTCATCTAGTCTATTGGTAATGCTGTCTGTGTATAAGTATTCAAGGACAACTTATTAGCATTCTGAAGCTTGTCAGGGCTGGTTGTCTCGAAGTGGGAGGTCACTGTCTTAAGAAAATAATTTGTTCATATCTAATCTGTATTTTGTTTTTGTTTGTGATTTATTTTAACAGATATTTATACCCTACAGTGTGCTGGGTACCACCATCAGTACTGGGCTAAAGTAGGAATGGCTGGTTCTCAATGCCTTTGGCCACCATCCCCTTTAAGCCAGTCCTCTGACCTCTAGTGAGATTTTTTTAGATGTCTCAGGCTATTTTGAGGCTACAAAGAATTTGTAGTTCTCTTTTCTTTCTATCTGAATAACTAACTAGTCTGTTGACTACAAGTGTAGAATACAGTGAAAACGAGGAATGGTTCACCTTTAGCAGGGGGGAGTGGTCACCTGTATAACAGACTTTAGGAACATCAAGACAGCCTTTACCTGCTCTTAAGTTATTCTTGATTCATCCATCCATCCATCCATCCATCCATCCATCCATCCATCCATCCATCCATCCAACCATCCATTCATCCATCCATCGATCTCACTAAACATTTACAAGCAACTACTATAAGCAAACACTGTGATTAAATATTAGTGATATGAAGTTGACTATGAAATTATCTCTGCACTCAAGGAGTTTACAGCCCATTGAGTAGATGCATAAAAACAATCAGTGTGATATATTATAATAATGCTATGGTAGGTATACACTGTAATAAGTGATGTACATGAACACACAAACTAGATATGCATACGTACACACACACACACACACACACACACACACACA